GTTGGGATGTTGGAGTTTCTAGGAACTCATTGGGTCATCTGGGGATGAGCCTGTGAGTAAGTGATGATAATTGGCAGGTGTGTCCCTGGGCTGCAGGCCACTCTGTGTCCTCTGCATTACAGACATGTATCATGTGTCATGTCTATGACATCACTGCCAAGACCAGTGTCATGAAGCTTTTCCTGCTGGTTTCTCTCAGGCCCTTTACAGTTTCTGTGTATGTCCAACCTTTCATCCACTTTCCATTAATGCTTGTGTAAAGTAAGCATCTGGCTTTCTTTCTCTTCCTGTGAGTGTCCAGCTTTACAAAGCCTATTTGTTGAGAAGACCGTACACCCCAACTCTGACATCCTTGCTGACGGTCATTGGACCATATATATGAAGCATTATTTCTAGGCTCACTATTTTGTTCATCTTTATGTTTGTTTTGTGCCATTGCCAGACCGTATCAATTTGTGTAGCTTTGTAGTATGTTTTAAAATTGTAAGACTTCTGGATTCTCAATTGTTTAGCTGAGATTGAGTTCAGAAAGTGTGAGACCTCTAGTTGTGGTCTCCCTTTTTCAACGTTGTTTTGGTTGCTGAGGACTCCTTGATGATCCCTGTGAACTTGAGGCTGAGTTTTTTAGTTTCTATTAAAGATACTGTTAGGACTTGGTGGAGATTCCCGGGCCTGTGATGGCAGTGGGTGGCAAGCCTGTGGACAGCACTGGGTTTTGTTACATTTTAACAAGGCTAGGTTACAATCAGTGAACGCGGATGCCTTTCCGTTTTCCTTGTGTCATCTTTCCTATCTTTCAACAACATTCTGTGGTTTTCACATGATTTTATACCCTGCAACTATGGTTTTTCAGCTGTGAGTTTTTCTGTCCTAAGGCAGTGTTCCTCTCCTCCGTGTTTCTACCTTTGGCCTCCGGCACAGGCTCATGCGTGGCCCTCCAGGACAAGGTCACTCTGAGTTGACATCTGTGATGAAGTGTTCTGCATTACGCACATTGGATGTCTCTCACAGAGTTGTCTAGTCTTTCAGAGCCTTTCCTGCACCATCGAGTCACCCATGTGTTATTTCGCCCAGCGGTCTGTTAATGCGCTATAGGGCATTGATAGATCATTGTGTGTCGAACCATCCTTCCACTCTTAGAGTAACTGCTGCTTGCCTGAGGTCTAGTCCCGCTTGTAAGTGCTGGATGCCATTTGCTAGATCTAAAGTGTTTTTTTTTTGCAACAATATTCACCAAAGACGTCAATCTGTGGTGGTGTGTTTGTATATAACCTTAATTCATAAGCCCCCAACACTGTGCAAATACTGAGTGAATAGTTTGTTATGATGTACTGAACCATGATAAAAAAAAAAAAAAAAAAAAAAAAGATCATTACAGACATGTTTTTTTCCTCATGTTTTTGACTCAGTTCAGTTCTGTGAATGCCAGGCAGTAGTAGGTTAGAGAGCAAACTTTACTTGTTAGGTTTCTTTTTCTTATTAAACGCCATGTAACTGTTCGAAAGCCCAGGGGAACTGATAATTCAATCCTGTGCATTCCCCATGCTGAAGGGTAAGCCCTGCATTCCTACCGGCTGAAAACCCAAGTAAGGCTAGAGCTAAGGTGGCTAGCCTCGCTCTGAGTGTCGAAGCAGCCAAGGCAAAATGCAGATGAAAAGGAAGCACAGCATTTGAGGGCTCTGAACTGCAGAAGAGGAAGAAGGCCAGGCTGTCAACATGCACTGCCGTCCCAGGGCTGGTGTGTATGGAGTTGTGCAAGGGATGTCGCAGTTGAAGACAAAGGGCGCGCCTAGGCCTGGCCACTTCTCACACTGGCTCATGATAACCCCGAGGGTGTGCCAATAACTGGTGGTTCTGGGAAAGCCCATGTTTATGGACAGCCACGGTCCCCGAGGGACAGTGGCCGATTTCATTTGCTCGAGGTGCCACTCAAGTGTGACAGCGGTGTAACAGCGGTGCGCTTTCCTGCTGGGCCTTCCAGCCAGGGGTTGCTCTAGTGTTCCTGGTGATGGTGGAGGCAGAGCTCATCGCCATTCTACAGACACGCTGGGAGAGGTCCCCAGTATCATGGTCTCTTAAGGGGGGGGACTTAAAGGGACGGTTACCTTTAATCTTTTGATGATACCTGGCTGGGGAGAGGGGTGTCCGGCCCTGTTGCTATGCACAGCATGTCAGACCCCTTCAATTCCTGTGATAAATCCACAGGTCGACAGTCACCTGTGTTACAGAGAGACCGGCAGGTGGCTTCAGGCTGTTCTGCCAGTGAGTGGTGAGGAGGCCCCGCACCTCAGGCATGTTGGGAGTCAGCCTGACTGCGGGCAGACTTTGCCCTCTTTTGCATTTTTCTGGGTAAGAAGAAAGAGGATGGTATCCTGGTTTTGTTTCCTATTGCTGCAGCTTAGCGGAGAAAGGGTTGATTTCGGCTCACAATTCCACGTTCCACGTCATCCCTGCGGGGAAGTTAAAGCAGCAGGAACTTGAAGCAGCTGGTCAGGAGCAGAGTGCGTGCTTGCGCTCAGCTTCTTTCCTCTGCTCTTTTGCAGTGCGGGGACCAAGCGAGGGGATGGCACTGCCCTTGGTGAGCCGGGGCCTCCCACCTCAGCGCAACAGTCTTCCGCAGGCCACCTGATCTAGACAGTCCCTCCTTCCCTCTTCCCATGCGATTCTCATGTGATCACTAAAACCAGCCGTCACTTTCAGCTCACACGGAGTCTCAAAAACAAGCAGCCAGGCTTGGGGGCACCCGCCTTTAATCCCAGCACTTGGGAGGCAGAGGCGGGTAGATCTTTGTGAGTGCGAGGTCAGCCTGGTCAGCCTGGTCAGCCAGGATATCATTCTACTTGTTTTCAGAGTCTGAAAACAAGTAGAATGAAACAGACCCCAAGCTCCACCGAGGAGTCCCGGTATATCGGCTGAGCCCCAAGCAGGGGGAGAGGGCCAGGATGTGCCGTCCACCTGGCGTACTCACCTGCTGTCCCTCATGGTGAGTAGGATTTGTGTCTTTCCCACCACTGTGTTCTATGGTTGACTTTCCCAGTGACTGACAAGAGCCCCTAGGTCTCCTGTGGAGCTGGGAAGGGTTACAGGCAGGGTGCTGCAGGGCTGAGAAGTGAACTCAGCCTGCAGTTTTCTGGTACCTAGGAGGAGAGAGAGTGGGTGAGCGAGCCAGTGGGTGAGTGAGTGAGAGAACCAGTAAGTGATGGTGGCTTTCCTTCTCTGGTATACCGGTTCTACAAAGGAATACTTTTTTGGGTTATTGTCAGATGAGAGAGAAGTCTTGGGGAAGCTGAGGACAGTTTGCTGTTTCTGGCTGGGGCAGGGTGACCTAGCTGTCTCAGAGCCACATCCTCCCTTCCTGTGGGCAGTGTTGTGCAAGCAGACAAATGCCCTTTCTCCACGGCAGTTCTCTCTGGCATGTGGTGGGGCTGGCGGGTCAGGACTGTCTGCTGCTTCTAAAACCTGGTACCCCTCGTGTTGCCAGCGCAGATCACAGCCCCACCTAATAGTCTAGGACTTCTCACCCTTCCGTGCAGCCTAGCCCTATTTGACCTTCTGTGGTTCCCTGCATCCCAGCATGGTTCACCCCTCAGTACCACCCTGTGGCTGGTCACAGTTGGGAGCAGGAACCACAGCAGTCCCTTTTAGAGCTGAGTCCAGATGGTTGAAGGTGCCGTGCGGAGATGTGGGCCTGGGGTGTGGGACCAGCTGTGGCTGTCTCCAAAGCCTTTTTTTTTTTTTTCCATTCATCTTCATCTTTATAGCACCCAGAAGCCTCTAGAACATTGGCTCACAAGCTGTAGGTCATGACCCTTTGGGGGTCAAACAGTCCTTTCAGAAGAGTCACCTGAGACCATCAGAAAACACAGATATTTACATTACAACTCCAGGGTCGTAGCAAAAAGTTCGTTATGAAGTAGCAATAATTTTACAGCTGGAGGTCACCACAACATAAGAACAGAAGTAAAGGGTCACAGCATTAGGAATGTTGAGAGCCACTCCTCTAGAAGGTGAGACTAGGGGCCCATCATAGTCCTGCAGTGCCTTCTCCCTCTGTGTGGGAGAGCTGGTGGGACCACCTGGGTCATGGATGAACGTGTCTCTCCTGTGTAGAGAGCCCTAGCTTCTTTGTCAGCATGTGGTGTTTGCTCTGCCCCGCTGAGTTGCATCACAGGGACTGGAGCTGTAAGCTGAAAGGTGGCTCTGGAGTATTCATGACGGTGGAGTCTCCACTCAGGGAAGATGACAGAGATGTGCTTAGAGTGCTCCAGGAGGAGCAGGATGAGAGTGCTCCAGGAGGAGCAGGATGAGAGTAGTCTAGGGAGAGCTCACCTGTGCAGTGCTTTTTGGTCCCTTGCATTAGCTGCTGTTGGTTTTCCTCAGGCCTACCACCTCTTAGGTGTGCAGTTAGGTCTGTGGGATAGGTGGATGGATGGACGGATGGACAGACAGGTGTCCTGGGGGTTAGAAAACCTGCTGTCCAGTCTAGGATCTGCCACCAATATGTATGGCCTCGGTGGGACACAGTGCTTTCCCGGCCTCTGGCTGTTACATCTGAACTGAATCCCCACCTCCAAGGGCCCTGATGTTCTGATGGCCTGAGTCTGCTGGGGCAGGACTCTGGCAGGTGGCGTTGCTGTAGGGTTCTGTCTGTGAGGCCAAGGCCAGTCTGGATTTGGTGAGGAGGTTCTCTGCAGCTCTTGGACTTAGAGCACAGGAAGTAGAACGGGTATGGGATGCAGGGTTGACTCTGGGCAAGCTGGAAGGGTACGTGGGACATCGGACTTGGCTGTCGAAGCCTTCATTGAAGTTTCACGTTCGCTGGCAACTTGAAAAGATAAAGTGCCCATGGCATCCTCCCTGGGTGGCAGAGGATCCTGTGAATGTGGGGATGGTTGGGGGGAGATAGGAGATGAACACATCCCCAAAAGTAGGGGTGGGTGGGACAGGCACTTCCACGCATGGTGTGGCCCCAGCTCATGGCTCTGCCTTGTTTCCTCCAGATCATGATCGAGTTCTGCCCCGGGGGAGCTGTGGATGCCATCATGCTGGGTAAGTCTTTCTTTAGCCGCTGGGGCTGCGGGGCGTGCCCTGAGTGCCCGGAGCCCTGCACCGTACTCCTTACCTGCTCTGTCCCTCCCTCCCCTCCTCGCCCCTGCCTCTTTGCGGGGATGGAGAGAACACTGACCTATGGGAAGCACCCACTGTTCTGTGACTTGATTGTGTACCCCCAAAGCCCAGGGGCTGCAACCTTAACACTCAGATTCACCCACAGACAGAGTTTGGAGGTGGGTCTGTGGGAGGACATTAGATGAGGTTGTGAGGGAGCCAGCCCCTGTGGTAGCATTAGTGGCCTGCTAGCACACTTGCTGTCTCACCATGTGGCAGAGCAGGAGGGCCTCTAGGTGAGGCCGTGCTGTTGGGACTTCCAGCCTACAAAACCACGAACCCTCTCTACCCTTTGTGTATCAGTTACCACAGCAAAAATGGACCAAGGCGCCCCGAGTCCTGCCACACACGCCCTGCATCTCAGTGGCTATTTGTGAATCTGAATTGTGAAGCCTTGGATCTTTAAAGTAACCTTCAGCCACATCTGTGCCCTCGGGAAAACAGCAGTGCTGGCCCCATGGTTGTATTGTGGGGCCAGGATTGGTCTATAGGCCAACAGGCTCCTGGAGGTGCTCCCCGCTGCTGGCCTGGAGAAGGTCTGGTGCAGATCTGGCAGGAGCCCGGGGCTGGCACTGTGCAGGGTCAGGTGTCCACCAGAAGAGGGCCTGGGGTTGGCCCAGCAGGTGTGCCTCAGCTGACAAGAGTTCTTTTCCTCTCCAGAGCTGGATCGAGGCCTCACGGAGCCTCAGATTCAGGTCGTGTGCCGCCAGATGCTGGAGGCTCTCAACTTCCTGCATAGCAAGAAGATCATCCACCGAGACCTGAAAGCCGGCAACGTGCTTATGACCCTCGAGGGGGACATCAGGCTGGGTAAGAAGGGCTTTGGGGGGCAGGCGGTGTCTAACTGCAGGGGTCTTTCTTGGCTTGGTGCCGCCTGGCCTTTGCAGCAGAAGGGGGCAGGGCCTAGGCCTGGTATTGAGTGTGGGGTCCTCACTCACACAGCTACCCCTATGCAAGGTACCAACAGGGCTCTGCCCACCCTTGGACCACAGGCTATTCTGATGCTTCTGAGCTAGGATCACAGGGCATTTGGCAGCATGGATACAACAGGGTGAAGTCGTGTCTTAAACCTTGTGAATGGAGACCAGGGATGCTGGCCAGCACCGTGTGGCGTTCACAACAGCCCATGATGCCAGAGCCTGGCCCTAGCCTCCACTCTGACAAACTCAGGTGGAGAGATCCTGTATCTAAGCACTTTTACCCACTGACCCATCTTGCTGTTCCCCCCCCCCCCCCGAATATTGATCGAATCCTCAGATACACATGAGTATGATAGAAGGTAAACCAAGAATCAGGATTGATTTTGTTTTGTTTGTTTGTTTATTGATTGATTGATTGATTTCAAGGCAGGGTTTCTCTGTATAGTCCTCGCTGTCCTGGAACTTGCTCTGTAGACCAGGCTGGCCTCGAACTCAGAGATCTGCCTGCCTCTGCCTCCCTGAGTGCTGGGATTAAATTTCCGTTTTCTTTGTGTTGTTTGTAATATTGTAGCTAAATGTCACCTGTGTACCCTCTGCTTCTACTTACTCCCATTGTCATTCTCCAGAGGTGTGGCTCTGAGCGCCCCTTGTCTTTCCTCCAGCACCATTAAATGATGTGTCTGTAATTCTGCCATTTGATGGACAGTACATGATTATCGTACATTCTTCCAGCACAGGAGGGGTCAGGTGAGAGGGCCTGGAAGTACCTCCAGGCTCTTTATCTGGACATGTCCACCACATTGGTTCGGGGGGTGCCTGTTGGCGCTTATGTGTTTATCCTAGTGGTTGCTGGATTCGGGGTGGAGAGCTCCCTGCGTGGGTGGAGAGAGCTCGGAGGGGGTGGCAGTAGGGACTGACTCATTTGGGAGCACTCAGCTCCACTGCCCAGTAAGCTCTGATACTCGTTCATTGCTCCATTCCCCACTCTCAGCCTGTCTTTCCAGTATAGAAGTGTCAGCATTTTTACTTCCGCTAGTGGCTGTGCCCTAGGGCCCCCATGAGGATTGCCGGGGATAATATGTGGGTAGGGCAGAGAGGCACAGTCAGTCAGAGGTGTGCCCTGCAGCATTTGTCAGTGGGCTCAGAGAGGACACGTAGCCAGCCCCAGGACACACAGCTAGCAAGAACAGAGCCAGGGTCTTCCCCCCGCCCGCCCAGACTTGGCACTGTTTGAGATCTCTCTCATCACCCCCATATCTTTGTACAACTCAGAGCTTCCTGAAAGAATTGCTTGGCTCTTCTTTCTCCCAGGCAAGGATGTAGGAGATGACATCTGTACACATACCGTGTGAGAAAAGAATAGGTGGGCTGCAAAGTTGGGGAGACAGACTCAGACCAGCCTGGTTCAAACCCTGGCTCTGCCACTTCTGTTGTGTGGCAGAGATGAGTGTTAGCGGTTATTAGCAGCGTGGGTGTAACGGTGGATCCTTCTTGAAGGGTGATTGTGGTGGGGAGGGGAGGGTAAAATGACAGCAGTGTCATACTGGGCAGGTGGTGGGCACCTGTTCCTGCCTTCTGATGAGTTTTTGCCACTGTCTCGGGTTTCCTTCCTATGAGGTTCCCTCTGTTGTCTAGTCTGGCATGGCTCCAGCTGCCCCATTCTGGACTGACAGTTGGATTGTGTTTGTGCAGAAAGCAAATCTGCAGCCTTAGGACATTGGGGTATTGGCAGGGTGTGGCCTCTGGAACTAAAGATCTGCATTGTCCCAGAAGAGTCGGGTCACCCACCCCCTTTGAGCCCGGTTCGCCGCACTCAGAGTGCTGCCTCGTGGACTGGGGGTGACTTAATTTCACCCAGTGGGCCCGCACAGCTGAGGAGGCCAGCAGACGTGGCCGACTGCTCCCCTCTCCAAACCCATGCAGGCCTCGCCCAGTGAATGAAAAGGAGGACACGGCTAGTCGTAAAGTATGGAGAGGGTTTTTATTGTAGATACAAGGGAGAAAGCAGGCAGTGGGAAGAGTCCTCGCTGGGCATGGCCTGCAGACCAAACCAGACCCTGAGAGGAGCGAGGGGGAGAGACAGCATACCAAGTGAGATTTGTCCCTTGTTTGAGACTTAACACCCAGGCGCTCCTTGGAGTAGATGAAGCGAATCCTACAACCTCCAAGGCCTTTCAAGTGCCCGGCCGAAGTGCCAATGGTTCAGCAGTCTGGATCCTGAGCTTAGAGCAGTTGGAAGTTGGTAACAGTCATGTCGGTCATTGCCATGGCTCCTTCAGTCTGGTTACCTAAGGAGCCTGACTCGTGAAGGCCTCTGATGTGCTGGGGGCCTGGCTAGTAGCCCAGCAGGGAGCCAGTCACCTGCTTCTCATCCCCATCTTCGCCTCAACCCAGCACCCCTGACTTCTGATGTAGCAAATTGGGGTCTGGGGTCTTTGCCAGGACCCTCTGGGGATGCCTGGAATCCCAGATAGCACCAAACCTTCTGTGGACTGGGTTTCTCCTGTACACACACGTACCACGAAATTTCATTTATATTAGACAGTGGACTTCAGTGGCAACAAGAAATGTTACAGCAAGGGTTATCACAGGGTTATTTTAACAAAGGTTACATGAATGTGGTCTGTCTTAGTTAGGGTTGTCATTGCTGTGATGAAACACCATGACCAAGGCTAACTGGAAAGGAAAGCGTTCATCCGGCTTATACTTTCACATCACTGTTCACCACAGAAGTAAGTCAGGACAGGAACTGAAGCAGGGCAGGAACCTGGGGCAGGAGCCGATGCAGAGGCCATGGAGGGGTGCTGCTTACTGACTTGTTCCTCATGGCTTGCTCAGCCTGCTTTCTAATAGAACCCAGGACCATCAGCCCAACCATGGCACCACCTGCAATGGACTGGGCCTGCCCCATTAATCACTAATTAGAAAATGCCCTACACTGAGTCTTTTTTTTTTTTTAACTTTTTATGGATTCTTTGTGAGTTTCACATTATGCACTCCAGTTCTACTCATCTCCTATATCCTCCCTCCAACCTTGCAACTTCCTCCCAAAATAACACACACATGTAAACAAAACAAAGCATAGAAAACATTTCATCATGGAAGCTGTAGTGTGTCGCAGTGTGTCCCACAGTACACCCTTCTGTCCACACATCTTCACTTGCAAATGTTCATTGCAGTGAGTCATTGGACTGGCTCGAGGTCTCTGACTTCCGTCACACCATCAATATATTGGATTCTCCTGGGGACTCTTCCCAGTAATCCTGTTATTGCTTGTGTCATGGAGATCCTGCAGCTTTGGATCAGCAGGACTGGCCCTTTCACACTCCCCAACACTTCACGATGATATAGATTTTGGGGTGGGCCAACTCAAAGACCTGGATCTGGGCCTGGGTGGTAGCTGAACTGGTCAGCACCCAGGCTTTCCCTAATCCACACCACCAGGCCAAGCTATCTAGCACTGCTCCTGCTAGGCCATCCTGTGCCACCAGCAGCAGGAGGCAGGGTCTGCTCTCCTGTCCTCCGGCCCTCGGGACTGCCTCTCCCGACTACCGCAGATAGCAAGGGCCGAGGAGAAGGAGGGCATCACCCCATGCCCACTCCACCTCGAGGCAGACGTGTAGCTGGCTGGTCAGCCCACCTGTGCCTCCTCTACCAGGACCAGCTCTTCTGTGCTGTCTGGGCGAGGTGTGGGGTCTGGCTGTCCCACTGTCATGACCCTGCTCTCCCAGCAATCCCGACTGCCCCAGGAAGCAAGGGCAAGGGGCAGAGGGCATCACTCTCAGGCCACTTCATGTACAGCATGGCCTTATGGAGGCATTTTCTCAATAGCTTACATCAAGTTGACATAAAACCAGCCAGCACATGCTGACTTGTTCTCCCCCCCCCCCCCCCCCCCGTATGTGTGATTCTTGAGTGAGAAGAGCAAGGTTGCTAATGTTTTGGGCTGACACGAATAACAAACTGAAACCACAAAAGCTGAATTGCAATAAGCGGGTATGGTAGCAGCCGCCCCGTGGGCTACTGTTGAATTCCTGGTAGCTTTCTTCTTCCTCAAAGGCCACTGACTGCATTTTACAGAGGAGGACTTTGTAGCCTGGAGAGGTTAATTCTCTGGCCCAGGATCACACAGCTAGCAAGAGGAACGACTGGGGTTCAAATCAAGGCATCTGGCTTCAGGGCTGGCATGTAAGCCGCTCCCCTCTTGTAGACTTTTTTGGGGAAGCACGGAAAAAAAAAAAGCCCATCTCCTGTGTGTGAAGTCAACACATGCTTATCTCTTGGAACCAGATTGAGAAAAAGAGGCAGCTAGGAGTATGTGGTTGGTTAGAGCCACATAGAGCACTGCTAGGTTGCCCTGCCTTTCTAGGGAACCCCAAACTTGGTAGATTCTGACAAGATCTAGTTCTATATTTCCCATTGGCTCCTGCAAGATAAACCAGAAACCATTGGGGGCTGCGGTGTCGGTAATACTAGTGAAAGGCTCTGATTGGCCCAGCCTGGCTCTCTGCCAGTATGGAGTAGATGCTGTGATTGGCCCAGCCTGTGGTCAGTCTCTGGCATGGAAGGGGAGAGGTCAGGGAGCCAATATGGAGGTCCTTCCTTTCAGTGTTAGTGTGGGGGGCAAGATAGCCTTTTCAGAGGAAGAGAGGACCTGGCCAGAGACCCAAGTCATTGTTCTCAGCCTGTGAGACTGATGTGGAAAGGAGGGGGCAGAGCAGGAAGCAAGCTCAGGAGACTGCTTTTACGGTTGAGGTTTTGGGGTGATGTGGGGAGAAGAGAGGAAAGCAAAAATAAATAAATGAATGAATGAATAAATAGAAAGCAACAATAAGGAGTCGAAGGTAACGGGGAGTCTGTGAGCAAACAGGCTTTGTTAAGAGGCCACAA